ATTAAATGATATTTTACAATCAATAATAATTCAATATGAGACAAAAAGATTTGTGCAAAATTTTTCTAAAATTTAAAAATATAAATATTTATAGATATGGTTGGTAGAAAAATATTTAATACTCTTATATTAACGATATTAATAGTAATAGGGTAACATGGGGCAAAGTAAAATGGTAACAATAATATGAAATAATATTACCATATATATTCTATTTTTTTAATTAATTATTAGTTCATTTAAAAAAAATAAATTAACAATTAAAATATTATCATTTTTAAAACATAAAATGAATATTTATGAATAATTATAATTTTTTTTCTTTATCTATTAAATACTAAAAAATTTAATAAAAGTTGAAGATATGATTTTTTATAGAAATATATATAATATTTTTAATATACTTTACTTAAATATTATATTTCTCAAATATTAAATACTAATGATAATTACAAAATAATAAAATAATCGCATATAAAAAAAGTTATTTAAATATAAAGTTATATATTGTTTATGTTATAAAATATATATAAAAAATATAAAACAAATAACAAATGATAGTGAAATAGATTATAAAGCTTTGATTACATAAGAATATAGCATGATATATGCATGTATAATAATTGTACAGATTGTTGAACATTAATCGTTAATTAATTGCAAAAAGAAAAATAATAAATAATGATTTATAATCAATTATTATACAAATTTTAACATTATTTTTTACTACATATACTAAATATTCTAATAAATATAATTTAAACTAATTTGTTATTTTACTCTTATTGAGTAAAAGTTACTTTATTGAACTTATAATTTTTTAAACTTTCTATATTAAAAAATAAATAAGCAAGTCCATATTTGCGTTTATTTTTTTGATTCTATGTTTCATCTTTTATCAAAATTCGTTTATAATTTCATAATCATGATTTTAATAATTAATTGTCTATAATTTTATTTTCTTTAGTTCTAATAGATATTAATGAAAAGATAAAGGAAGAGGAATAATTCCCTTTACCTCATGTTACTCACTTTAACAATTATTTACTGCAGAATATGCCATGAAAATTTATAATATATAGATACAAAAAATATTCATATATATAATATAAAATTTTTCTACGCTTGTTCATGATAAATATTTAGAAACTTTATTTCATGTTATTAAATCCGTCCGTTATATATTATTAATTGAGAATATTCGAAAAACAATGAAAAATAATAAATTAATCAAATTAAAAATTATGCAGTATATATAGAATAATTTCAAAATAGGTTATCGAATTATAAGAGACTACAACATTTAATAAATAATTATAATAAAATATCAATTATCCAAACTAATTGGAAAACAATAAATGGATAACCGGTTAAAAAAACAAATTGTGAAACAATTAAGTTTAGTTTATTTTAAATACTTTTAAATTTAATAAATGTGTATATATACCATATATATTATGTAAACAAACATTACTTAAAGTGCTTACTTCAAATTACACGTGTACATTTTCTTTTTTTAATTATAGGAAATATTTAAATATATCAAATTATCATTTTATATTTATCTTGTTTTCGAATAATCAATGATTTTAATAATTAAAATTCGGATAATTGACTACCGTATATATACTATTATATAATTTTTTTTATATATTTAATTATATTTAATTATATTTTGATTGTATAAAATAGGCAATTATTAATTTTCCATAAATATTATAATTATATGATAATATTATGGATATTATATGGATATTGGACATCAATCTTATAAATCTACATGCAAATCTTAGAAATAAAAAGTGCTTTAAAGTATTATGTTATCAGTATTTAAAATGTAAATATAATTAGATGCTTAAAAATTTAAAAATGCTATTGCGATAAATTCATTGAAATTTTACTTAATTTTAATATTGTTAAAAAATTAATTTATTACGCAATATCCCATTCGAAATCAAATCATTTTTTATATTCGTCTGAATTAAATAATAAAAACGGCTATATGAAAAATTATTACAATTCTTTTACATTTAAAATTTGAAAATAATTTAATGAAAGTAATTTAGCATTTTAATTTATATATGGGTGCTTTTTCTAGTCTACTTATTCGGTAACCTATTTTAGAATCATCCTGTGTGCATTTCGATTATTTATAAGGCTGTGTGCAAACAAAAATATGATAATTCGAAAAATTATTTCTTGTATAAGAAATAAAATTAATAGATAAATTAATAAATTCTGCGACAATAATATCTTTTAAGTAACATAACAATTTATATATATTTTCATATTTTTTAGATTAATGGTTAAATTTTACTTCTTTAAATTTTAAATGTAAATATAAAATTAAGTCATTTAATTTCTAATTTTTAGAAGTTAAAAATTAAAAATATACATATGTATACATATACAAGTATTACTCGTAGGCATCTTTAAGATTATTATCTATAATCTAAAAAAATATATTATAGAAGCAAAAATGAATATAATTAGTCGATTTATTAAATTACAAGCAATTTAAATTTATATGAAATGAGATAGAGATTAAGTAAAATGTTACAGCATTTTTACTTCATCTATTTATATAATTAATAAACTTCAAAACTATAACTTAATAAATAAATTAACATTTTTGAATATCAATTTTTATTTATTTTTATTTCTAATCGACCTTTGGTATCTTATGAATATATTAACATTTTATGTATATGTATATATATATATATTATTTTTTTTTTTCTGAGGATAGAATATACAGTTATAAATGTTTTTTGTTGTAAATAGAGGCCAGTTACAAATATGTTTTCATACTCATGATTTAATTTGCAATGAATGATCGAATGATAAAAAACAATAATTTTATCATAATTAAATTTTTCTTGTATTTCAACAACAATATTAAAATTTAAATAATAAGATTTTATTAACTTTTATAAATGTTAATAATTAATTTTAAAAAATTTATAAACTTCAAAATAATATATGTAAGTACCTCAAATCTGTATGATGTATGTTTTGAAATCTTATATTAAATATCTTTTCTTAGTATTAATTTATATTTATAAAGAAAAAGCTCAATAGAATGCTTTAAAAAATTAAAATTTTATAATAAAAAATATACTCATAATAATAAAATCCTTGATATTTACTGTTATTTATCGTTAAAATAGTATTCAAGGATATTTTGCACTATTCTGCTAAATGCTTAAAAATATTCATTTATTGTATATTATTATTTTTATTCATTTCTTTATTGTTTGTATGTATTTTTAATAATTCTTATTATATAAAAATCTATACACGTAATAGAATAAACAATTTGATAAAATGTATGCACATAACCATGAGCTGAAAAATATTGTAACAAAATCTAAGAAATTAATACTAAGAATTAAAAAGCAAACAAATATTTACTAACAAATTCAATCTAATAATATAAAAAGTATGTAATATGTATGTTTTAGACATAAATCAATTTTCTAGATTTACAGAATATTAATATATTCATGACATCTTCGAAAGATCGATTCTAGAAATCAAATCGAATATAAAAGTTTGTATATAAAAATATTTGTTAATATTTTTTTATTTATTAAGATATAAACAATTGAATTTTATATTTAATAAAGCAAAATAAAAAAAAGAATGAAACCGTTCTGTTTTTGTTACATTGGTACACATTCTGTTTATTCTCGCTTCATTCAAGCTAAACTTAAATTGCTTGCAACTTAATAAATAAGCCTCAATCGATATTTTTATACATCAATTTTTGTGTTTGTCTTGATATTTAAAATCGATTCTTGAAAATTATTTCATGAATATATTAGCATTCTGTATATAGATTATTTTAAAGATATGAAATTTTTAAAATCTTCTAATGTATGTAAAATGTTGTAAATATAATATGTTATTAATATTTAAAATGTTATGTATTTTAATCCCTTAATATTATAATATTATATAATACTATAGTTCCTAAAGTTAATAATTTTGTTGATGTTTAATGATAAAATTGAAAAACAATATACTGGAATTATAAAATAACAATTAATTCAAATAACAAAAGATCACAATTCTAAAATATATCTCATGTTTTTTCAAATCTAATTAATATGTTTTATTTTAACTACATTTTTTATATTTTTTCATATTAAAAAATATAATTTTATATAAAAAAGCAAATAAAAACTATCGAGTGACATCTTTTCATGTAAAGTTTCATTTTCAAACAAATTTTAAAAATTGAGCATCGATATATATATATATATATCTCTTTCTTTTTTAAGCATGTTTTTTATATATGTTTTTTATAAATACTATATATATTTGATATTTTATTATTTTACGTATAATTTTTTTATAGAAATCGAATTTTTATTGATCTGCAAAAATATAATAAAATATAATAATTTAATAATCTGAAAAACTATTGAAGTAAATTGATTCATTATTTTATTCTGTACAAAATGTGAAAAATAAAAAGAACTATAACAATAAGAATCAGAAATCAATTTAAAGTTAAAAATAATTAAAAGATATTACATAAAATATAGCAAAATATAATCTATTTTTCATATAACTTTTTTTTTCTATCTAATTAGTATTTAAATATTTTTCAAAATAATATTGATAAATGATTTTAAAAAATATGCTGAGAACATAATAGAAGAATTAAAAACAAAAAAAAATAAATAAAAATATTCATATTCTTCGATTGAAAATAATAATTTTCTGTTAATAATGAGATAGAGTTTTAAAAAAAGATAGAGTAACGTTGTAAAAATTGAGAAGAATCACTAAACTTAATGATATTGTAATTATATTATATGAAAAATCTATAATATGATTTTACATGATATATTGCTATTTATAAAAAAATTGTAATATCGAAATTCACACGTTTTTTATCTTATGAGAATAAATATTCTTATCTAATGTTTTTATTGTTTTCATATTTTTAATCAATAATATATATTATCTTAATATAAGATATCTGAATATGAGATATGTATTTAGATAATAATGTTTCGTGTCAGTTGAATAATATTTGTAAACAATACATGTACTTGTATTTTAGTTGGAGACAAATAAGGATTCCTTTATTTGTTCATTTTTCAGTTCATAATTCATCACAACAGTATCTTCGTCAGTTAGAAATAATTTTTAAAAAATTTTTCATTATAGCATCGAATGATAATTTTTTAAATACCTCTACTGATTAAAAATCTACTTTCAATTTATCTTTAGCTAGAGAGATAAATTTTTATCGGTGAGTAAAGAAAAATCAAAAAATACTGATATAGACAGAATATCGCCGTTAACAAATTTATATTATATGATATCTCATTTTAATTTAGCAACATGAACACCAATGCTGATGTAAATGATATTCATTTAGCATTTAGTATGATAAATGAATTTGAAACTGTATGGTTAACGATAAGTAATGAGGAGCCTAATCAAGTCAATTATCGTATAATAAAATCATACTTGGAATATATAAAGAAGCAATTAGATTTTATCATGAAACCTCATGCTTTTGATCCTGTCGAGTATCCAGATCTAATAGAAAAAAGAAATCACTTTATGAGAAAATGTATTCCACTTATGGCTAAAGCGGAAGTATATTTGGTGAGATACAAGGAGTTTGACTTCAATCTTGAATTATGGACATGTGAATAACTACTAACATTCCGCGAATAATTTTATAAAACTTTATCGTTTTTATATGTATATTTCTATACATAAATTCAAAATTTTCAACAATTTCTATTTGGGGTTATTTAAGTTGGCGGTTAGTAAAGTTGGGAAATATGCACGAGCTATAATTGCAAGGTTTATTAATTTCTTAAGGTATTATAAATATCTATGTTAATTTTTTTTATATATGTCACCTTGTCTAGACTAAAGTCTTTATGCACTCTTTTTATAAGAAACATGTAAAGTGGAAAAACCAATGGAAAAACAATAATATTTTAGTTAGATTTTATAGATTATGGAACATCTTTGAATTCAATAAGATTCGTTAAAATAAATATATTTGGATTCTAAAAGCTAAAATAAATATAAAAATTGGTATGCAAAAATATTTATTGATAACGCTTGTTTATTAAGTTATCAAGTAAGTAATTGTTTATCAAATAATTTTATTTTGTATTATAAAGTGAGAGAATTCATCAAATGCTGATGATGGATAGAAAAAGACAATAAAGGCGATCCTCTTTCTCCTTTATTAAAAAATGTAAAATTATAAAAAATTATATCGTATTTTAAAAAATTGTATGTACTTAAGGTATTTAATTTACTTGTTAAATTGTTTTGCATGCTAAATTATAAATATAAATATAAAAAATATAAATTAGAAACGAATTTCAAATCATGTAAAAGAAAATTTAAAAATCAATACTTAATTTATCTTTCAAATATGATATTCATGATTCTGTCTAATATAAAATACAATTTGTTATAACTATATTTTTTATAATTATATAATTATAATTATAATATTATAAATATAAGGTTAATAGGGTAATACATATGTTCATCCAATCGTATTTTTATCATCTATCATTTATATCATCTTTTATATTTATTTTGGCTTCTAGAATCGATTCTTCAAAGATTCTCCACGAATCATTAATACTCTGAATAATCTAATATAAATAATTACAATATTTTTACTTTAATATATTTAAAAATAATTATTGGATCGATATAACGAATGATTTTTTGTACTCTAGATCAAAACTTCTGTTTCAAACAGGTTACACATTATGATGCCGTAAAATATTCTACGAAGTAAAATGTACAACATGGAAGATAAATTTTGTATTAAATATATAAATTCTTGTTATATGAATCATTACGAGAATCATGTTCATGTTCATGAAAAATATTCATATAATTTCATAACAAATTCTATGTAAGTATATATTAATCACCGAGTTATATTACCATTTCTTATATTATATATAATATATTCTTATATTATATATAAACTATATTGTATTATATATAATCCATCTTAAAAAAACTGATGTTACGAATATGAAATTGTACAAAGTTTGAAATAGCAAACTTTACTTCGGGACATTAAAATTTTTTCTCTTTTTTTAAGTCTTTTTAGATTTTGATTTAGAACCCAAAAATGTTTTTAAGTGTTTATTAATTCAAAAATTAATGTTTCATATTTTTTAAGTATTTTTTATATGATATTTTAATTTTATTCGATTATAATTCGATTGAACACATTAAATTTAATTATATGTTCCATTTAAATTTTTAGATATATCTTCTTTTTTTTTTACAAATTAGAAATTTATAATGAAATCTTCTAAACTAATAATTTTTTATTATAATGATATTTTTGCTATTATATATTATTTTGAAAGAAATGACAGAATACAAAAAAAAAAAGATACAATATTACATTGTTTAATTTCATTTATCGTGCAAAGATTATTCGATTTTCTAAATTCATCGAAAGAAAGATAGTTTTTGCAAATTTATTTTAACCATATTAATTTTAATAATACTAATTGTCGATTTATATAAAGAATAAAAAATAAGCGCTACTGTTAATCGGTACATAATTAAAATTTAATTAACAAAAATTTTTAATTAAAATTAAATTTAAATTAACAAGATTTTTATTAAACATGATTGAGGATAAAAATAAAAGTTCAATTAATATAATCATCTATAATATCTTAAGGCGAATACAGAATAATATATATTATTATCTTTATCAAGTAAATAAAGCTTTAAGATATTGATATTGAAGAAAATTGAGAGCAAAATTTAAATTATTTGTGCACATATGAAATATTATATATTTTTTCGAATAAACAAATAATATTCATATAATTTCATAGCAAAGAGAAAATTAGAATTCAATAGAAAATTTTCTCTTAAAAATTCTAAATTTAATCATTATTGTTGTAATAAATTAGAAATTTAGTAAATCAAGCATAATACTTAAGATTTTTGAAAAAGACATTCAACTTAAATTATTTATATTATTGCTATTTATATTATAACAATAAATAGATCATAAATTTTGTTGTTTTCTGATTTTGTTGCTAATTGCAACAATGAGACACTTTTATCAGTAGCCTAAAGATGAATAAAAATCAATGGGAAATATTCTTTATGGAACTTTATGAAATTGATCTATTATCGAATCACGAACTTATAAAAAATTAATAAATTCTGGACCTAGAAAGTGGGATTGCAAGAAAAAAAATATTTTATGAGTTAGAATATTTTTCTATTTCTAATAATTAATATCTATATATCTATATATTATAATAAAATAATTTATCAATCAAAAGTCTGTTTGATTTTCGCGCACTTTATCGAATAGAACGTTCAATACTCTATGGATACCAACTTATGCTGAATAAAATAATTCTTAATCACTAAATATTTACCATTTACTTTAGATACTTTTAATATAAGATAATGTTAAATTTGTAATATTGTTTTATTTTATTACTAGTAGTAATAAGAAGAGAACAAGAATTGTATTGTTCTATGTTTTATATTTTTATTTTAGTATTAACATAAAATTAAACAGGTAAAGAAATTGATTTAAATATACATAATTTATAAATTTTAAATTAAATATAAATTTTATTAATTATATAATATGTAAATGTTATAATAATAATAAATAGAAATAATATATATAAAATAATAAAAAAAATATTTGAATTTGAGGTTATATTGCTTATATTTAAGCTATTTACAATTAATGTAAACTTAGTTTAAATTATTTTTTAATTAAAAGTATAACTTTTAAAAGGGAATACAAATTAATAAAAATGAAAAAGGAATAATAATTTTCAATATTAAGCCAAAGAAATTAAATGAAAAGATAAATTAAATAAATAATAAGAAATTCAAAGAATTCATAGAAATAATTACAAACATCAAACTTTATTGAAAAAAAAAATATAAATATTATTATTATCATTAACTAATTAGAAATTAATAAAATTTAATATAAATTAATAAGTTTGTAAGATTTTTATGTAAAAAAACTATATGATACTATTAAATATATACATAATAATGTATTATTATTATAGAATTATTACTAAATTATTATATTAATATAATATAATATAAGAAATTTAAATAAAAAATATGAAGTAAAAACTTAAAATTTTTAATTTAATATTTTTATGTAAATAAGAAATTCAAATATGCCACCAAAAAAAAGCACAAATACTTCAAAGGCAAATAAATCTAAAACTGTAGAAACTAACAACGGAAAAGAAGAGAAAAAAAAAGGAAATGCTGGGAATGCTGTAAAGGTATGTTAAATATATATTAAAAATAATTGTATCTTATTTATATAAAAATAGATCTATAAATATAATTATTTTGCTATAAAGGTTAGACATATACTATGTGAAAAACAATCAAAAGTTTTGGAAGCTTTAGAAAAATTAAAAGCTGGAGGGAAATTTAATGAAGTAGCTGCCACTTATAGTGAAGACAAAGCAAGATCTGGGGTAATGTAACTTATTATCTGTAATATATAAAATATTAATTTTTAAATAATTGCATCTGTGTATTATAATTTTAATATATAAATATTTAATGTGTATTATAATTTTAATATATAAATATTTAATATTTAAGGGTGATCTTGGGTGGATGACTAGAGGATCAATGGTAGGTCCATTTCAAGAAGCTGCATTTGCATTACCTATTTCTTCTATTAATTCTCCAATCTACACAGATCCACCAATTAAAACAAAATTTGGTTATCATATTATAATGGTAGAAAGTAAAAAATAAATTATGTATAAATAATTATGTATATTTATAATTTATTTAATATATTTAATTTAACTGTATGAAATTAATAAATTATATTTATAAAAAAAATTAGGTAATTATAAAGAAAATTAGAAAAACAAAATCTTATTGATTTTGATGATTTTGAAATATTTTGCTGAAAATAACATTTTAAATAATTTTTTCTTATACATATTATACTATTCAGCTTTATATTTCAAAATATTTGTAAAAAACTTAATATTATATAAGTAATATATAATGTATATTATATAATATATTTATGTGTACATTTGTAAGAATATAAGTACTTTTTGTTTTGTTTATTATTAAATATTCTTCATACAAATTATATCAATCTCTAAATATAGTCATTTTAATCATTTTTATGTAATGAACAATGAATTAATAAATTGTGTAGAAATTATATTTGAAAAATGTTATGTTAAAATAATTATCATGAATAATTATATGAATTTTTTAACATATGTAATAATTATAATAAATTATTCTTGGTTTAATTGTGGCTGTTAGATTTTTTTAATGGAAATTTATCGTGGAAAAAACAAAAAAAATTTCATTTTAAATCATCTCTTAATAACTTATATATTAAGTTAGATATAAAATATAATATATTTCTTTCTATTTTTATTAATAACATTTAATTATTTCATGAATAATGAAAGTTCAATATTTTAACAATTTTTTAAATTAATATTAAATAATTTTAAACAATTTTATATATCAACTTTTATTCTAATTCTATGAATTTGAAAAATGTTCAAAAGTATTTCAATAATATAATATTTTTATTTTATATATATATATATACTATAATATGATATTAACATTGTATGTATATATATATATATATATATACATATATAATATAATATAATACACACACACACACA